GGGATTGAAAAAGAATCGTAGTGTTCAGAATTGGTATTCTTATATATCTAGTATCTCCTCTACATGACTCTAATATAAGAAGAAAACAGTAAAAAATTACAGATTTTATCTAGTCTCAGAGAGTTGTACCTCATAATGTAGGTCTCGTCTCAAAAACTTTTGATTGTCTAGACAGATGTCCTCGTTAGATAAATTTCAACGAATTATATTTCTTCAATTATTAAATATCGTAAATGACCAAGTCAAATATTTAAAGGCATGAATTATTACTATTTATCATAGATTTATTGTGATAAATTGCAATGTAAATATTTCCACTTAAAACCCCGTTCAGTAATCAATGTTAAGTCAATATACAGTACTTCGATCTGTGTATAATGCATCTTTCTGCACGCACATCTCCGTGAATAAGCGAGATGTTTAGCTTTGATTGACATGAAGGGGGAGAGAGAGGATAAACTATTAGGTGTGATACTTTTGTACCAAGTCTTATCTATGAATATATTTGACTTTTCTATTCATTCTGAAAAACATTTTTGTATCGTACTGTATGTGTTTATCATTTTTCTTAAAAAAGAAATTACTACTTACGGAAATATCCACATGAACAAGCCAACAATGATGTCCTTTGACTACACATAGTTGAGTTAAATCAAAACATTTTGGATTATTCAGTATATAATTTAAACTTCTAGCTATTTGTTTTGTATATTGTCTTCTATGTCTACCAAACATTCTTAATGATCGACAACCACTTCTAAAAATAAAGAATAAAAAAATTTGCGCGTATTTAATAAATTTTATTTTTCATTATATATATATAATATAAAATTAAAAATGAAATTAAAAGAATATCGTATTCCAATGCCTTTAACACTTGATGAATATCGTCTTGGTCAACAATGGACTGAAATTGAATTACTTAAAGAAAGTTTACAAACCTATTCAACATGTATAACAATTTCTGATAATATTTCTGAAGAAAAACGTTTAGAAATAATTCATGAAAAACTTCCTTTAAGATTACAATCAACAATAAACTCATCAATACAAATGAAACATAAAAAATATTATATTAAAGATCAAAAATCAAAATTTTTTGATTTCTTTAGTTTTAAATCGAAAATAGATCTTATTTTAGATGAATATTCATGGGATAATTGGCCTTATACATTAACAATTATTGAAAATATTGAAAATTCTATACGTATTATAATACAAAGTTATTATAAGAATATATCTCTATCACAAATAAATCTTAATTCTCAATTATATTTTTCACTTAATGATGAACAAAGAAAATATTTAAAAGATTATGAAATAATTAATATATCAGAACGATTTGAAGATAAAAAAGATTATCGAATTGATGAAGATCCAACAAGAAATATTTCATTAAAAAAACCAAATCTTTTACCATTACAATTTAATACAAAATGGTATGAAAATTTATCAAAAAATCAATCATTAATGTGTGCTCATAAATTAATTGAATTAATTATAATTGATGAAGAATCATTTTTTACTCGAGCAACAAATAAAATTTTGGTAAAAAGAATATTTTTGATTGTTTTTTGAAAAGTTCTTTTTTTTCTAAGTGGTCGTCAATTCTTAAAACACAAAAGATGCTTTATCATCGTTTTCATCAAAAAATGATTTGTAATATCGATAAGTGGATCGATAAAACAATGGAGAATATTTATGAAGAGGAAAAATCGTTAGAGAATTCAATTAAATAAATATTTTACCCATCAACAGTTGCTTCAATTCGACCTTCATTTGGTTTATCTTGACTTGAACGACTAAATTCAAATGTAATACCAACCATTACTATCGTTCCACCCTAAGAAAATATTTTTATTCTCCTATATTTTTATGTTTTAATAAATTTTACTAATTTAAGAAGACATGATCCATTGGCAGTATTTATCACGTCAGTAGCAAGTAATAATGGACGATAGGAACGACAATCTCGACCATCATTTCGGCACTGTGACTAAAAAATGAATAGGCAAAACTTGCAAACAACAATTATAAATATTTTCTTTTTCATTATATACTAGAATTTAGTCAAGGGGTAAACAACAGAGACTTCATGCATGAAGTGCCATGAAATCTTTCAAGTCTCATGAAGTCTTGCGAAGTTTTAGAACTCTCTTGAAATCTTTTGAAGTTTGTGAAGTCCATTGAAATCTATGAAGTCCGCTGTTTTCTCCTAGAATTTAGCAATGATTGTGTTTATAGCTTCATTGAAAGTGACATTTAATGATTTTTAGATTTTCTTTTGACTAAGTTTTAGATTCAATACTTCTATAATAGATTTATCTTACAAATAGAGTTAAAAATAAAACATTATCTTATACAAGATGAAAGCAAGGATTAACTTCCTGCGTAATTTAGAGTCATGCTAGATAATCATCTCTATTTTAAGAACTAAAATAATAGACGCATATAAACAGGAATAGGAAATGACTTTCTTATTATATATATATATATATAATTAATTCTATTAGTCTAAATAATTCTTACCTGTATACCATCTACAATAAATTTTCTTTCATCTTCACTTGCAATCGGTACTCGAGGCATTATCTTCAAAAAATATACATTTATTAAGATTAGAAATCGGGGATATATAGATATATATATATATAAATTGTTTTGTTGAAAATAGTTAGTAAGATACTAATTACACACACAATACAACAGAAAAAGAAAATGTTAATTTGTTTTTGACGTTAAAATACAAAATACAACATAAAAAGAGAATGTCAGTTTGTCTTTGGCATTTGCGTTAATATACAAAATACTTGTATATTTGTTCATCATATTTATGAAAAATCTCGATCAGGAAATAAAGCTGGTGCAATACATGTCCAAATATATAAAACGACACATATCCAACTTGATACAATTTTAACCCAAAGTGATGCTAAATTATTATTATATGTACTGAAATTTTTTGCTGGTTGATACCAACTAGAAAAAAAGAAAATATTTTACAAAATAAAATAAAAATAAATTTCATTTACTTAGTTAATGTCATCATTGCATATAAAGTAGCAAGTACAAACATAAAATGAAATAATGAATAACTATAACTAACTGATCGACTTTCATCATCATAAACCTGTTGATGAGTTTTATCGTCATCATCACCTAATAATCTATCATCGGATACAGATGTATCATCTAATATTGTTGAATAATCATTTGATGATGAAGTTAAAAATAATTTTTTTGCACGATTATTACGTGATGTTGTAAAAACTGAATAAAAAAGTGCAATACCAAACATGATTAAACCAATTATTGTTATTGGATCAAATAAATTTTGTTGTCTTGTAGGACTAGGACTTGGTGTTGTTGTTGAATTTGTTGGATGAATTAGTGAACGAATACTTGGATTACATCGTTCATCTGGATTATTACTCATTGCTGACCTATATAAATATACATAAATATTTATTAAATCTAATAAATACACTTCTACTAACCATGTATAATAAACAACATAAAGACTAACAAATGATGATTGGAGTAAACCACATGATGCATTATATTCTCTTACTCGTGGTAAAATCGATATAATTGAGAAAATAAAACATAAACATAAATTGAATGATATAAAGAATGTATGTAAACGACAGATATTCCGATCAGGAGCATAATATACATAAAAAAGTACAATACCAGTTATTGATAATGCATAAAAAAGAAATGTAAAAAATAATAAACCATAACCATGTTTTTTTGAACCAGATTCAACATGATCAATCCATGATTCATTCCATCTAAATAATTGATTTATTTTTTGTTTTGAAAACAAAATAATACTTACGAATGAACAAAATCAATTGATAAAAGTAATTGAACAAGAATAAACTAGAAGAAAAGAAAAGATTAAAACACATTCTAATAAAAAATTCAAAGTACCATAAATCCACCAATTAATCCAATAACCATAAATGTTTGTGCAAAACCATTATTCGGAATAAAAAAAGCAGCAACTACTAAACCAGCAAGTATTAGTAATTTGAATCCCCAAAAACCATTTTGAACTTTTGCTCGAAAGTCTTTTGATGATTTTACATTGATCATCTAAATTCATACATATAAATATATGTTGAAAAAAGAAATTTTTAACATACAAGTAATGATAATATAAAAAAGAAAATTGTCATTCCAAATGACAGACGATAGACAGCTAAAAATCCGACAATTTTTGAACAATCAATTGAAGGAATTTTTGGCATAACAACATCTGTTAATTTTGAACCACCAGAACATAAAGCTGGAATTTTTGCTAAAGTATTTTCCAGACCAGGTATTAACATAATACATGATGTTATTATACCAACAAGAAGAATAAGACCATAAGCAATACGTGATGAAGTTGAACCTTTCATTGCTGGACATGCAGCACAACAAAGTGAACAAAATGCATTACCAAAGCAACATGCAACGGATGAACCTAATGATCCGATACATAAACCCATCGTAATCGATCAATTCTATAGAAAATGATTTGTAGATCTAAAGAAAAAATAAATTAGAATCTTTATCCGAAATAAAGAACGCGGGTACAGGAAAAATTAAATATTTATATTATCAAAAGAATAATAAACATTTAAATAATCAATCGATTGCATGAGATATAAAGAAAAAAAAATTTACAATATAAAAATAATATCTGATTATAAGATATATGAAAATAAAAATAAAATGTAGACAAATAACAATATTATCTTTATTTTTCAACATAAATTTCTCATTTGGAAATCATCAATAAACACATAAGATAAAACAATTATATATAAACAACTATGTTTTTATACAAAAAAAAGAAAAGTATCTATAAAACAATTAATAATCATCATAGAAAACAAAATTATATATATATATCTATCTATGAATCTCTCTCTATATATGTATAATATCTGACACATATGAATATCTCATAAAACAAATGAAAAATATCTGATTCTAATCAATTGAAATTATATAATAGCAACAACTTTATTAATTTGTTTTTCATCTTGTTGTTTTTCTAATAATGTTGGTAACCAAGATAGATGATTTAAAAGATCTCGAAAAGGTCGATTATGTATCATTGTTGGTATAAATTTTGGGCGTTTTTTATAAACATTTTCCTAAAAATAAATACATAAGTAAATAAATATTCAAAAATTCAAGATTATTTACAAGTAAATCTATTGATACATTATGTATTTGAATTGAATAAACTTCATCAACGGGCACATCAGATGATAATCGAATAGTTGAATTTGATAAAGAATTATTAAGTACTTCAGAAAATGGTTTCATCCATTCTTTACATATACAAATATCATTATTAGTTAAACCTAAATATATTAATTTATATTTTCGATGATGAACGTTAAAATCTTTATGTTTACCTGTTATTTCTTCAATTGCCCAATTTGTTTTACATAACAGAATAGCTGAAGCTGCAAGTACATGTTTCGAAAATTGATTATATTCAATATCTAATGAACATAAATCAAGTAACTAAAATAAAAATAATATTATTTAAAGTAAAAATTAAAAAATGAAAATTTACTCGAACAGTTAATGAAAATATTTGAAGAAAATCTTTTGATCGATGTACATTAGTTAATAATGAACTTTGAAGAATTTCATTATTTAATAAATGTTGTTTTTTTATTAATAAATCATTATTATTTAGAATATTTTTAAGTTCAATTTCAGATTGAAGATAAATTAATAACCAACTTATAGATGTTATCGGATTTATATGCCAATTTAATACCTAAATATAAAAATATGATTACAAAAAAATCAAAGATTTGTTCTTACATTCATTAAATCTAATTCCATATCGAGTATATCATCTTCAGAACATGTATTATCCGTAACATAGGAAAAATCAGATAAACGTGGTGGATAAATTTCCTAGAAAAAATTTATTTAGAAAAAATATAAAAATGTTAGTTTTTTACTTCAAGTTTTGCAGCAACAAAAAGTGAAGTTATGCCAAGTAATTGAAATTTATTTTTAGATAAATTTGTTTTTTTACATAAATATTGATCAATATAAGCAATTGATAAATGATAAGTTTCACGATGAAGATGATAAACTTCAGAAACCTTTAAAGAACAAAATGTAAGAATTTTTTTTATTTTGCGAAAAATTTTACTTCAATTAACCAATCGAATAAAACACTTCGCATCTTTGTTGTTATAGATGGATGTGAATCAAGAAAATTAACACGACATTTGTATGTTTTATCATGAGTTTTATTCATCATATTTGACCATAAACGATGTGATTGATACCATGGAATATTAATTTGATTTTCTTTTTGTTTGAATACAAATGATGAATGTTTCGTAAATATCATTTCTAAAATGAATATCAAGAATATATATTAGATTAGATCATAAACGACTAGTTTCTGTCGATATCGATTTTAGAGAGAAAGTGAAAATTTTCCACCCTACCAGTTTTTTTTTGAATCATCAAATCTCTTCATTAAAATTCTACGAGTAGATATTACATATGATGATGTTAAATAAAAAGTATTTATATGAACAAGTGTTTGATAGTATATCAAATGATAAATATTGTCTCGATATACATAAAGCGTACACTTTTCCCTTTTCTCCTTATCTATTTTTTTTTGTCAAAAATTATTGAGAATATGTCTTGAAATTATCTTACCTGATTGAACTCTTTTTATAACATTTTCTTTATTTCCAACATTTTTAGTAAACTAAAAAAAAAAAGAAAAAATATTTTATTAGTTAAACGAATAAAATTCTTGTTTTTTTTCCCACTTTGCGTTGATTCATTACAGTCAACTTATAAATAG